TCCTCCTCCTCCTCCTCCTCCTTCTCCTCCTTCTCCTCCCCCTCCTCCTCCTCCTCCTCCTGCTCCTCCTCCTCCTCCCGCAGCTGTCTTGTGGGCGAACGGTAAGATTGATCAAGGGTCCCGCCGCACCGGGTCCAGCAGCGTTTGTCCGCCACGCCCTCGGCGGCCGCTGCGGCCGCGGTCAAGGCGAGCGCGTCCCCGGAACACTTTAGCAGACTGCTACGCGGGTCGGCCCTCAGGCAAACACCCGGGGTATGTACCAAAACGGTGCGGCGACAGACCGTGCGGCGACCTCGAGATCTCACCGAGGCCACACAGCACTGCCAATCACCGCGCCGTTCGTGGACCCCAGCCAGAGTCCCCAATCGCCCGAGACATCCTCGGACGGCCCAAGTCCCAAAACCGCGAAGTCAGCCCGAAAACACATTGCCTCGCCACACGGTATGTTCTCCGCACCGTTTGGGGCTCCCGATCCTCTTCGCTTTCCCGACTGTCTGTGGCGTTTCTCCTGTGACTTCATCACCACTTATGACCCTGAAGCTGAAAAATAACAACCAGCTTCAGAAATGGACAACTGGTGGCTTTCAGAATGCGACCCACGCATTAGCGCCGCGCAAATTCGTCGTTTAATTCGCAAGGAGCTTCACAGGTGAAGGGCGGCGTCTTTTCAACATGTTTCGCCTTAGAGCCGCGCGCAGTCGTCTTGTATGCAAGACTTTCACGGGATGAGGGCGGCTTGTTTTCTGTGGTGTTCAAACGGGCGCCGCGCACATCCGTCTTGAACATTCGCAAGAGCTCTACGGATTGAGGGTGGTTCGTTTTGAACATGTGGCTCTCGCCTTAGCGCCGCGCGTCTTAAAACATTGCAAGAGTTTGACAGGTTCCCATGGCGAACGTACCGCAACAGGTTTTCGGGAGCGATTTGGAGCGACTCACGATGGTCAGGGCGCATCAACCACTATTGGTTCGCAGTGATGACTCGCAGAGACGGCATTCTGGAACGATCTCCCAACGGGGCACTTCCCCGTGGAAGTGAACCCTTGTAGGGGCCGATGAAAAGGGAGCTTGGGGGAGGAATTATTCCAGCATCGTTGCCTAGTCTTGGGTTTGCACTGGACTGGTCCATCCTCCTCCTCTTCCTCCTCCCACTACTCCACCTCCTTCCCCCCTCATCCTTCTTCTCCGCCCCCCCTCCTCCTTCCCCCCTTCTTCTCCCTCCTCCTCCTTACCCCACCTTCTCCTCCTCCTCCTCATGCTGCTCCTCCTTTTCCTTATTCTGCTCCTCCTCCTCCTCCTCCTCCTCGGTCCTAAGGTGAGATAGTCGATGCCCAACACGATCAGGAATTGATAGACCGAAGAGGCGGGGTGGGGAGGCAGGAGCGGCGGCATGGTCCGGGGGAAGCAGAGGAGCACGCATGCAGCAGCTGCGCCTCGAGGGCACGATGGGCCCGAAGGAAGGCACAAAACTTGAACTATCACCTTGAATTCCTCCTCCTCCTCATCATCGTCGACGCCGTCATAGTAATCAGAATCATCATCATCATCATCATCATCATCATCATCATCATCATCATCATCATCATCATCATCATCATCATCATCATCGTCATCGTCATCATCATCACCATCACCATCACCATCATCATCATCATCATCATCATCATCATCATCAGCATCATCAGCATCATCAGCATCATCATCATCATCAAAGGCCGCCACGCGCTCAAGCCTTCGGTGGCACAGCGATCTTCTCACAAGAGCCCTCCATTGTTCGCCAAGAGGCAGAGAGCACACTGCGATGGCAGCTCGCACGGATGCCAACTCCAGAGGTGCGCCTCGTGCGGCATGCTGACGCGTTGCATGCTGAGGCCGGTTGAGGAGGTCTCGAGTACGAGCTGCTTACGAAGTTCTTGGCAGTGGTGCGGCGCAACCAAGACGAGAAGGTGTACGTCAACAACAAGATCGAAACCAAGGGTCAGGTTGCCACCGTCATGGGGAACTACCACCTCGCCTGCGCAACTTACCGAGCGAAGTCCAAAGTCGAGTATCACATCCAATGCCACCGCTGCGACGATGGCAAGGTGCGCGTCTGCTTGCAGACTGTCAAAGGGAGCTACTACATCACTTGTGCCGCCAATGGAGAACAGTCCAACATCGTGAGCATCATTGAGTACCACGGCTGCGACGACGGCAATGTGCGCATCTTCTTGCACGTTCGTTCCGCGCAGTTCGTGCTCACGCAGAAAGAGTCCGAGAATTCACAGCAGGAGAACCTGAAGGCGGAGCACGAGCTGCGCACGCAGCTCATGGACGAGGCGCGGGGGGGCACACTCAAGGATGACGTTGCCAACATCGCTGGAGTGGAGCAGTACCATGAGAGGCACTACGACGAGCCCTTCGCCGACATCATGCGTTACGGAGTGCACAGTACCACAGGAGGCACTACGACGAGCCCTTTGCCGAGACTATGCGCTACAGAGTGGAACAGTACCACGGGAGGCACTACGACAAGCCCTACGTCGACATCATGCGCTACGGAATGGAGTTGTCCCGCAGGAGGCACTACGACGAGCCCTTCGCCGACATCATGCGCTACGGAGCGGAGCAATACCACAGGAGGCACTACGACAAAGGAGCGTGCCGAAGGGCGCGCGCCGCCAGTCTCAGTAGCTTCTGTCTTCGCTTCTAGGCCAGACCCCCCAGCAGCTGCCGACTCGGGGTCGGCAGGACGCGCGCAGCCAGTCTCAGAAGACCCGGAGCTGGAGCATGCCGCAGGGCGTGCGCCGCCAGCCCCAGAAGAATCAGAGCTGGAGCATGCTACAGGGCGTGCGCCGCCAGTCTCAGCTTTTTCTGTCGTCTTGTCTGCGCCAGCAGACTCGGGGTCGGCAGGGCTGGCACAGCCACTCTGCAGCTTCATTCCTTGCGACTGGACCAGGCGGCCCCGCAGCTGCCGACTCGGGGTCAGCCCATCTTGAAGGGCCCGAGGGCCCACACGATCAACTCTCGAATCCGAGAGCTATCCAGATGCACGCATGATTCCCCCCTCAACGACGGGGCTTGCATGGCCAGCCTGAGCCACGGTCTCTTCTCCAACCTCCGATCCTCCCAACGCTCAGCATGCAACGCGGGCATCGCCAACTGTCTACGGAATTCCCTGGACCGCGCGCACATGTGTGCAGCAACCCGTAAAGCACGGCTCCTAGCGAGCTCTTTAGGGAGCAATCGAGCTCTCTGCGACGGATCAAATTGTCTCTGAAACCTGTTGCTCACCAATTTGGTCATGATGTCGAAGAAACAAGCATCATCATCAGCATCATCATCATCATCATCATCATCATCATCATCATCATCATCATCATCACCATCACCATCCTCATCATCGTCCTCATCATCACCATCATCATCATCATCAGCAGCATCATCATAAACATCATCATCACCATCATCATCGTCATCGTCAAAGTCATCATCATCATCATCATCATCATCATCATCATCATCATCATCATCATCATCATCATCATCATCATCATCATCATCGTCAACAACCCCATCATCATCATACTCATCATGTTCATCATCAACACCTTTATCATCATCTCCATCAGTACCGTCATCCGTCATCATCGTCATCATCGTCATCATCATCATCACCATTGCTTCCGTCACCAATGGCACCATCATCTTCATCTTCACACTCACCCTCACCCTCATCCTCCTCCTACTCATCCTACTCCTACTCATCCGCCTCGTTCTCATTAATATCCACGTTTCCACCACCACCAGCATCATCATCGTCATCATCGTCGTCGTCCTCGTCGTCATCATCACCATCATCATCATCATCATCATCACCGTCATCATCATCATCAACATCATCATCACCACCATCATCACCAACATTATCATCGTCACCGTCATTGTCATCGTCATCGCCATCGTCGTCATCATCAGCATCAGCCTCATCATCAGCATCATCATCATTATCAACGTCACCATCATCATCATTATCAACATAGTCAGTATCAACATCACCATCATCGTCATGATCACCATCATCATCACCATCCTTCATCATGACCCTCCCGTCCACCCCCCCACCACACCATCACCAACACCGTCACCATCACTATCGTCATCACCGTCAACGTCACCATCACCATCCTTACCATCACCATCAATCAAACCGCCAATACTAACAACAGCAGCATCACCATCACCACACCATCTTCGAAATCTTCCTCGTCCTCATTATCAGCATCATCAGCAGCATCATCAGCATCATCATCATTATCAGTATCATCACCATCATCGTCATCATCATCAGCATGATCATCAGCATCATGTTCATCATCATGATCATGATCAGCATCATTATCGCCATCATCATCATCATCATCATCATCATCAGTGCCACTATTATCAGCAACAGCATCGTCATCACCATCATGGGCATCCCAATCATGATCAGAATGATCATCATCATCACCATCACCATCAGCATCATCATCAGCAACAGCATCACCATCATGACCACCAGCACCATCATCAGCATCTGCATCACCATCAGCATCATCATCATCATCGTCGTCATCGTCGTCGCCATCATCATCGTCATCAATTGTTCCATCATCGTCCTCATCATCTCCCTCATCGTCCGCATCATAATCCTCATCCTCATCTGCTCCTTCTCCCCCTCCTCCTTCTCCTCGTCATCATCATCAGCATCAGCAGCATTATCATGAGCATCAGCATCAGCATCAGCAGCATCATCATCATGATCATCATCACCATCAGCATACTCATCATAATCAGAAGCAGCAGCATCACCATCATCACCATCACCGACTCCATAATTATCATCATCAGCATTCCCATCATCATCACCGTCATCATCATCATCATCATCATCATCATCATCATCATCATCATCACCATCATCATCATTATCATTATCGTAATCATCATCACCTCCCTGGAGTCCCCTTCCGCCAGGGCAC